ATAGTACACTTAGAATGAGACTCTCTCGTTGTCTCCTAGGAATGGGATTACCAGACCTTGATTTATTTATGTGCAGGTGGACTGGATCGCGTACCTGAGACACCTTGCTCCGTCCTTTCAACTGTTATTTTTCATTATTGTTATCGTTATGATTAGTAATATTATTATTATCATTGTGATTATTATTATCGTTGTCGTTATCATTATACTTACTATCACATTCATCATTATTATTATTATTATCATCATCAGTAATAGCAGTAGCAGTATCATGATTGTTACTATTATTTTAATTAGTAGCATTATATTGTCTAAGCTTCATCACAAGTAGGCATGTTTTTTTTTTTATGAAACAGATTCTTTCACACTCTTTGTACAGTACGATGTGTGCTTCGAGGACGCTATTGCTTCGAATCCTGTTTTCCAAGATATCAAGTGAACCAATTCAGAAAGACGTTTAATGTATCAGGGATTTCAATTAATTTACACTCTAAAGTACTGAACAGGTTTCATGTCAAACCAATCGTAAATAAAACAACGAAGGGAAGAAGAGCGAGAAAACACGTGTATATACCATTGACTTTTTGGACATATTGCTTCTTCCGGACGTGATGGAAAAAAGACAATGCAGCGAAAAGGCCTTCGTTACATCCCAGCGTTCTGTTGTTTTTCCCATCGTTGTTTGATTTACACTGTGAAGAAAGTCATATTTTAAGTTTGAGGGAAAGCCAGATCTCAAGCCGCTTGGGATAGGAAGATCCCATAAGCGGAGTTCCCCAGACCACAAACCTTGATCATGAGAGAGATACTACTGAATGAGACAAAGCTCCTGTCTTTATAGTGAAAGTATACCTACATGTTCCGTGCCCCCGTACCTATGCACAGACACGGGATAGAGGAACCACGTTAGAGAATGTTTAAAGTGCCGTGACGCAAAACTCGGCGCTCTGTTTCCCCGATTCCTTATCTCAATTGCCTGATCTCCTAAACATCATGGAGATTTCCTCTTGTGATCGCTGATAATAGAATTTAAGAGATAACCACTCCCACTTCATTACAGAGGCTCGTAGACGCACGCGGCTCCCCATTCTCGACGTGAGCCCGCACCGGAAGCAGACAGAGATAAGGCGACAGAGTGCATGTCAGAGAATGACAACACCAGACATTACGACAGTGCCAGTGTGGACAGACCGATCTTTGGCACTGCTCGTGAAATGTCAGGTTCCAAGGGTGGCGAATCGATGCTGCTGTTCCCGTAGTTACAGAGAGGAAAGGGGGAAAAAAGGAGAAGAAAGAGTGTAGATTATTCATCAACGGCGGGAAAGTGAGTGAGGCGTGTTCTCTCCCACCTGCGCCGAAGTGCGAGCCTGCCGACTGGGAAACAGGTGTAACACCGGCGAGACAGAATGTGCCCCTCGCCAAGACGCCCCTCCGCCGCGCCCGCCGCTCGAACCTTCGTCTTCCAGCATCTCCTTCTTCTCCTTCTGTGCATGCGAGCCTCCTCATCAATCACCCCAGGGGCACCAACGTCGCCCTTGCCTCACGAAAAGTACGGAGGCGAAGAACATGAAGAAAGGCTGGTTTCTTCTGAAGGAGACGACGGCGGCAATTTTTTCCCACAAGATGTCGGAGTTCGGAGTTCTGGTGAGTCTTAATTTGATTGTTTATCTTTTTAGAATAATAAAATAATAGTAATAATATGACGAAGGAATGGTTAAATAGTCAAGTGTAGTAATAAGTATTCGAATAAAAACAGACTGTATAGCAGAATGTATTGTTTAAGAGAACAGCTACCTTTAGTAATATATTACATAATATGACTAATGTGGTTTAATATCTAATCTATTGTATTATCTACTGTTTGGTGTAATTTACTGTATAGTGTTACCTGCCGCATGATATATTCTACTTTATGATATGTACTGTTGTATTAAATGTATTAGCACCAAAATTAATCGCAATATCGTAAACAATAATTTGAAGATAAAGGGTGTGTATTTATATATATATATATATATATATATATATATATATATATATATATATATATATATATATATATATTTGTGTGTGTGTGTATGTGTGTGTGTGTGTGTGTGTGTGTGTGTGTGTGTGTGTGTGTGTGTGTGTGTGTGTGTGTGTGTGTGCGCGTGTGTGTGTGTGAGTGTGTGTGTGTGTGTGTGTGTGTGTGTGTGTGTGTGTGTGTATGTGTGTGCGTGTGTGTGTGTGTGTGTTCTAGATACCTTCTCCATAAATTTTGAAACTCTATACTATTAAGATATACATTTGTTCCTTTCAGAGTGGTTCGCAGAAGTACAGACACTGGACATAATAACAAAGCCAATCATAAATGTAAGTTATGGTGAGATACAGTGTGATTTATGGTGGTGATGGTGACTGAACTGAAGGAAATTGATTGTTGTTATCGATACGGCTACATGATATGTATGAATGTCATGCATGACAATGATAATAGTAATACTAATAATGATTATGATTA